CGGTCTCCGCCATGCGCAGGCACGCGTGCGCGTGGGGAGCGGCCGGCCGGCCGGCAGACAGGTCAGCGACGGGAGGGCACACGAGAGAAGGAGCCAAGAAGGACCAGCAACCGGCGGCCAAGAAGCGAAGGGGCAGACGACGCACCACGGTCGAACGGCTTGCCGCCGGGGTCCTGCTCGAAGACCTCGAAGTAATCCTCAAACTGGTGGGCAGAGGACATGGCGCGAGATGTGAAGCAAGGGGCAGAAAGGGAGGAGAGGCAGAAAGAAGGGTGGTGAAAGGGGAGGGAGAGGAGGGGGGGGGGGGGCGGCAAGGGGCCGATCGCGCAGAGGGGGGTGGCCCGGCGCGCCGAGCCGGCCCGCCAGCGGCCAGCCCGTTCACTTGAATGGCCCTCCCCGGCCTGGGGAGGGGAGCTGTGTGAGGCGGCGTCTGACGGCGCTCCGGTCTCCGCCATGCGCAGGCACGCGTGCGCGTGCGTAGAGGCCGTCTGGCGCCCTGGCCGCCCCCGGGGGTGCGGCAAACAGGCCTGCCTCGAGGCCCAACGCGCGGCGCTCTCCCTTGCCGGCGCCCCCGCTCGTGCCCGCCGCCCTCTCCCCGCCCTGTCCCGCCTACACACGCACACACACACACACACACACGCAGGTCCTCCCCGAGGAAAAAAAGGAACTCCGCGCCAGGTGGAGGCGGGTGCGGTGCATGTGATCATATCATGTGTGTGCTACACAGTGCTATTATATCAGAACGCCACATCAAAGCCTGCCATACCCATCGTCATCCTCGTCCGAAGGCCCGGCGATGCCGGCATGGAGGAAGTCCAGCCCGAGGTCGCCAGCCGGCTGGTCCTCGTCCGACATTTCCTCGGGCTCGGTGGCCTGGCTGTCAGAGCCCGAAAGCTCGGCATGGGCCTCCGTCGGGGGCCGAAGCGCCTGCACGCTGATCCCCGTCTCGCTGGCAGCCCACACGTCGGTCGGGATCACCTGCGACGAGACAACCTCCCCATCCAGGGCCCGGTGCTTCAGGTGCCCAATCCAGTAGGCAGCGGATGCGTCATTGCGCTCCAGCATCTGCCGGACACGGAAGAGCAGCGTCTCCAGGTCCCGCCGGAGCGGGGCCACGAGCCTCAAGGCCGTCGGCGGGAGGGTCGGCGTGCCATGGCTGGCAGCTGCGTCACGCGCCCGGGCAGTTGTGCCGGCGCTTGCCGAACGAGCCTGGCGCTTGCGCGCTCTCCCGCCGGCGTCGGTGGAGGTGGCGCCCGCGGCCGCGGCCGCGGCCGCCACCGCCTCCCGAGACGAAGAGCTTTTCACCAGCGAACAGGCGGACTGCAAGACACGCGTGCTCTTCTGCAAGGCCGCAAGCAGGGCCAGCACCGCCTGCCGGTGCGAGTGGCTCATGCCGAAGATCCGATCAAAGCAAGGCATCACATGCCGCATCCAGGCCCCGACGAAGGACCGGCCCAGGCGCAGGCAGGTCACCAGCACCCCGGAGAAGGGAGCCGCTAGGACTGCATCATCCGCGGCGCGGATGGCCCCAACCAGCCCGGTGAAAGTCCCCAGGAGGAGCTCCAGTCGGCTGAGAACGACAGCAGCTGCCCGTGCATGTGTTGATGCGTGTGGGTGGCGCGGGGGTGGCGCGGGGGTGTGAAGGAGGGCAGAGGAGGGAGGGGGGGGGGGAGGGAGTGCAGATTGCTCATAGGGTCAGTGACAGAAGCGGAAACATTGCCGAAGAGAAAGGCGGCTTCGCACCGCTGTCATGGCGCCGGTCCAGCAGACTGGGCGATAGGTGGGTCACATTGGCCACCAGCGCCTCGAAGCACAAACGGTGGTACTGGACAAAAGTTTGCAGCGTGATGCTCGATAGCCAGGAGTGTGTATCGTCCATGGCTGCGGCGGTCTCGCCGTCGGCTGACTGTGATACGTCGGGCGAGAGGGAGCTCCATCCGCTTAGGAGCGGCCGCTCCAGAGCCTCGGCCAGGTCCTCGGCCCCCGCCGGCAGCCGCTCCAGCGCCTGCTGGTACTCGGGCAGGATCTGCCGGCAGAAGGGGATAACCACATGCGAGAAGGCCGCCGGAGATAGGAGGAGGTGCGCTCGGAGGACCAGCTCCAACTCAGATGTCTTCCGAGAGAGAGAGGGAGGGAGGGAGGGAGGGGGGAGGGAAGAAGAGAGAAAGGGGGGAAGGAAGAGGAAGGAGGGAGAAAGAGAGACAACCATTGCCGGGTTAGACGGCCACGGACGGAGAAGGAGAGAAAGGCGGGACAGAGGAGCAGCCATCGACCCAGGGCAGGCGCACATTCATGGTGGCCAGGTTCGGCACGCCGGCCAGCAAACGCCCCGCGAAGTCCGAAATGAGATGGAGAGGCCCGACGTCCGAGGCCGGGGATGGCCGGGGCGCAGCCAACGCCGCGGGGCCCGCCGCTGCCGGGCAGATTGAGAAGAGCCGCGAAATGGCGAGTGCCGCGCGCAAAAGTTGCAACGGCTGCCGGTGCTCCACATCCGCCAGGCAGGGGGAGCTAGCAAGATCGATGGGAGGCCACGAGTCAGGCGCCAAATGGGACCGCATGCCAAAAAGCACCAAGGGACGCACAATAGCAGTGCCTGCAGGATGGTTTCCAAGTCGCAGTGACCACTGGCCGGGGGGGCCTCGACCAGCCGCAGGAAGAAGATGCTCACTTTCCGAGCGGTCTGCAGGAATGTCTGGGGCCAGGCGGAAGAGTCGGACAGAAACGCCGTGAGAAGCGGGGCACGGGCCAGAACAGGGAGCAGAGTAAAAAGCAGGGCAACGAGCAGAGCAAGGGCCAGGCCGGACACGAGGACAGCCCAAAGGCCGGTGGGGGGGGGTACCTGGCGCAGAAGGTGCAGGAAGCCGGATGGCGAGTGCCGAGTCACCGATGCCAGAGGAGCCAGGTCGCTCTTGGGCGTTCGACCCAGCTGCACAAGGCTGGTGGCCACACGCTCGAGCACCCGCAGACCGGTACCGGCGGAATCCATCAGGTCCGCAATCTGCACACACGCGTGCGAGGTTGCCGGCGAAAGGACACGCGGGCGGGTGGGCAGGCAGGGAGTTAGCCCGGGCCAAGGGAGGAAGCAAGAATGGGCAACAACACAGCCGGGGGGCGAGTCTCCACACGCACGACATCATTCATGTCAGCCGACATCCGAAGAGCCTTGGGCGCCAGGGGGGGGGGGGGGGGGACGGGACGGGACGGCCGGGCGGGAGGAAGGGAGGAAGGGAGGAAGGGAAAAGGGGGGGGGGGGCAAGCACGGTTGGACGGGGATCGGTCAACATTTGACGGTCAAGGGCCGGAGGAAGAAGCAACACCGCAAAAGGGCACGCGCGCACCCGGTCCAGACGGAACAGAGCACACAGCGAGTACAGCCAGATGTGACTGAGCCCGCCCTGCAACAGGAGGACGGAGATCCAGTGGGCCGGTGGCCAGCTGCTCGACACCGATTCCAGCGGCGCATCAATGTGCGCCTCCTCCGACTCGGGCAATCCATCGGCCGTGGCCGTGGCCGTGGCATCGGGAGATGCGTCATCGGCCAGGGGCTGCGCCGGCGCGGAGTCCGCGCTGGGGGCCGGCGCCCCGGGTGCCTGGAGGTATGCCGAAGACCACACCAGGCCGGTGCCGGCCAGCGCGGTGATCAGCCCATTGAAGTGAGTCGATGTGGCGGTCTTCATGCCGGTCATGCTGGCCAGGCTGTCAAATAGACCCACCGTGGAGCTGGTGAGGAAGTGACTGCAGAAGCGAATCTGCCAGCGGCAGCGGCAGCCACAACGAGGCGACAGGAGCCCGGGGGGGGGGGGGAGATCAAGGGAGGAGAGAGGCCGAGAACGCGAAGGAGTGCGAGATCAGGAGGAGAACGTCAGTCACAGCGCCTCCAGACCGGCCCAGTGCCCAGCGAAGAAGGACACCCAGACACACCTCGCTTGAGAGGCTGGAATCCATCTCGGCGGTCATCAGCGAGCGGAGCTGTGACCGTTGGGCGATCAGCGACGCGGCGCTCGCCTGTTGCCAGAGTCGACCAGAGGGAGTCAGTGGGGGCCAGGCACACGAAGAACATTCACGGGGAGAGGAGCCTTCCCGGCGATGCCACGGCCATCGCGTACCTTGAGCGGTGTGAAGCGCCGGACAAAAAGACTACCGACGAGCGAGCGCAAGAGCAGCAAAAGTGTCAGATCCCAGGCAGGGCCGTGGCCAGCAGGAGGAGGAGGGGGGCGGGGGGCGGGGCGGGGCGGGGGGCGGGGCGGACAAGCATGCAAAGAGAAGCGGACCTGACGAGGCGTGCCGGCGGCTCGGTACTCAGCTGCAAAGGCCACACCACACGGAGAAGAGGTGAGAGCGGAGCCCGGACAACACAATGCAAAACCCAAAGCGCACCAGATCGATGATGGCCTCTTCAGAGAGGGCCCCCTCGTCGCTGAGCAGGATGGCCGCCGACAAATGCGCAGCCAGAGCCCCAGGCGGCACGGTAAGACCAGCGGCCGGGCGCGCACGGCGCCGGGCACCGCCACCCCCGCCACCCCCGCCACCGCCGGTTCCAGGAGTTGCCTTCAGCGAGGCATTGACCAGTGTCAGCAGGCATGTCTCCAGGTGGATGAGCTGCCCGGCCCGACAGTAGAGCACCGATCGCAGGGTGCGCAGGCCTTCCCGGTGGGCATGGTGTACGGCCCCACCGCCGGGGAGGAACTGCAAGCCCTGCAGCGCCTGGAGATCCGGGTCACAGTGCTCCAGCTGCGCTCGAAACAGAACCGCCAGCCATGGCGTAAAGGCATTGAGCAGGTGTCGCAGCCTTCAACGGAAGGAGGAGGCGGTAGGAGCCATTCACGGTGGGGCACGCAGTCGGCCACAGCGGCATGGTCAGTCGGGGGGAGGGGGGGAGGGGGGGGAGGCGAGACGGAGCAACACAATGGCAGAGATTGGAACCGGATCCCCCGTGGCAGGGGGCCAGCCCGACAAGGCAACCACATGCGCACCAGTTGATAGCATAGAAGAGCGACAGGATGACCGCCGGCGAGGGAGCCAGCTCGCCGATCTGCAAATGTTCCGGTCACACAAGGTGGCATTCAGTCAGGTCCGGCGGGAATCCACAGCACATGGGAGGAAGTGGCGGCGGTGGTGGCAGAAATGAGCAGACAAGTGGAGCGCACCGCCTCCACGTCAAACAAGGCAATCGGCGACAGGATGATCGGATCGATGACAGCCAGTAGCGGCTCATTTGAGGCCCCGGTCGCAAAGGCCGGGCCGGCGCCCGGGCCCAGCGAGAAGGAGCTGCAATACCGGTACAACAGGAAGTGCGAGCCCAGCGTGGACAGCCGCAGGCGTCGAGGCTTCCCCTGGGCACTGAGCAGCAGGCACCGATGGATCGCGGCCACCAGCGACGGACCGCCTCCGACCGGACTGGCCGACGTGTGGGCAGAGCCGACCAGAGACAAGCTTGCCAGCGACTCCGACCCATGATCGCCCCCGAGGGATGATGCCACCGAGGGGTAAATGTCCACGCACACGGCCGGTGGAAGTGGCTGTATGTGCACGTGCATGTGCAGTTGTGTGTGTGGGGGGGGGGGGGGGGAGATATGGGGGCCGAACAAATGTGAGTGCCTGAGGAGGAACCGAAGGAGAAAGGGGAACTGCAGCCATGGACGCAAAGTGCAGCAGCAAGAAGGAGGGCCCATGGCCATTGGGCGCACGGTGTTCGTATTCGGAGAGGCCACATGGAGCTCCACGGACACAGGGGGCGAAAGCGGCCGAGCTGCCGGAACATGACGGCCGCCCCCGGCAGCCGGAGCCTCCAGGAGGGAAACTCGCGAGGCCAACTCCGACGGCGACACCAGGTACCGGCTCTGCCCGCCACAGGGTAGGCTCCAGGATGTCAGTCCCAAGTGGGCGGAAGGGAGAAGGGCGACCCCGGCCGAGCAGACTCGCTGCGTCCCGGTGAACGGACCTGAAACTGAACAATCACGTCCTTGAGAATGAAGGACAAGAGGGACTCATCGACCGCGCGCCACGGGGCCAACAGGCCGCCCGGGCAGATGGGCAGCTCTGGCCGCGAACCTGGCCCCTGCGAGCCCTGGAATTGCTGAACTGTGCGCAGGAAGCGTGTCAGCTCCCGGAGGAAATGCCCGTGATGGGCCTGCACCGCATCATGGCCGCCGTCCGATGGTGCAAGACAGGGACAGGGGAAGTACGTCAGCAGGGAGCTCAGGACTGAAACCCCAACAGCCAGCGGGACCAGGGCAGCACCGTCACAGGATGCAGCACTTGCAAAGAGAGGGGGAAAAGAGCGGAAGACAGAGGGATATAGGGGGAGGGGGGGGGGGCGGGGGGGCGGGGGGGCGGGGGAAGGAAGAGAAGGGATGCACCTGCGACAGCCGGGCCATGTCGCTCAGCAGACAGAAGAGCCCACGCCCATGGCGGGACAATGTCTGCCGGAAGGACTCACTGAGCGTCGTCAGGTCGGGGTCTTGCATCAGACGTCCGAGCTCACCGACTGCGGCGAAGATGCCCGACATGAAGAGCCGGTGCCGGGCCAGCAAAGCCGGCGAGAAGGTACGCGAGTGGCTCGGGCCACCGAGCACCGCGCCATCATCCTCCGCCAATGCCGCCAGATACCGGTGGAAGGTCGAAAGCAGGAAGCTCTGTGCACCGGCGAGGGAGGCAGGAGGTCAGAAGGCGCCCTCGCCGGACGCGTGGACGGGAGGGGGAGAGAGAGAGAGAGAGAGGCAAAAACAGAAGGAGCAAGGCTTGGGAAAAGACGATGGACAGGCGTGGGGGCACCTTTGAGCGCGAGCGCGAGCGCGGCCGAAACTCCGGCCCACGCAGAGACAGGCGCGTGGCCAGGTGAGCCAGCACTGCGAAGAGCCCGCGGCTGGTGGTCTCCGCGATTCCCGGCGGCGTCCCGGTCGCCAGCGACAGGACCGTCCCCTGGAGAACCGGCACCAGGGGATCCAGCCCGGCCGGGCCCAAATGCTCCGGCAGCTCCGGATGCAGGCCACGGGGGTGGCAAATCCAAGCCAGCGCGCATGCCCCGAGCAGGATCCGCACCTCCTACGACGAGTTAGTGGCCAGAGGGAGCTCCGGAAGGCGGGAGAAGGGAGCGCAAATGAAAGCCCCGCCGATGGGTCGCCCCCCCCCCCCGCCCCCCCCCCCATCGAGGACGCACCTCTCGTGAAGCCAGCAGGTCCGCCAAAGAACCCACCACTTGGCGCTGGAGGTGCTGCACGTCGGCCGGGCTGAGCCCCGGGTCGGCCAGGCCAACATCAGACCCCGGCGTGGCCCATTGCCCGGCCACGCGCTGTGCCACGGGCAAAAGGCAGAACAACAGTGCGGCCCAGCGCCCGGCCAGGCCAACCGCGGCCCCGGTAAAGCCTTCGGGCATGATGGGGTCCATGTTGGCAAGCCCAGGCAGGCGAAAGGCCGGCATGCGAGCCGCCTCGAGGGTGAAGTGTGCCAGTCCGGTTGGGAAAATGGTGAACGCATGGAGGAGGCTCCAGGGATCGGTTGTGGCAAAAAAAAGACAGAATGGCGTGGATGGGACAAAGGGGACGCGGCGAGAACGAAGAGGCAGCGAAGGAGCAGCAGAGGGGGCAGCAGAGGGGGTAGCAGAGGACAAACGGAGGCAGACGGTTAATCCGCTGATCGGAGGCCACATACAGTGCAGGGGGAGACCAGAGAGGGAAGAAAAAAAAAGAAAGACAGAGCGAAAGAGAGGAATGAAGAGGACACGGCCGATCCGCACTCTGGTCTGGTGGAGAAGAGGGCCAGCGTGCGCGCCAGCAAGTCCGCACGGAGGCGCCCGTGCAAGGTCAGCATGAGAAGCAGCAGGCAGGCCAGAGCCGCCAGGCGGTCTGCCGGCTGCGGCGCCTCCAGCAGGCCGGTCCCAAAGACCGTGAGCGCTGGGGCATGTGCACTTGAGTTGCCCGGGTGTGCCAGCGAAAAGGCAGTCCCGTGGAGGCCTACGCGCGTGCTGCCCCGTCGACTCGGGCCGGCGTCCATGACGCCAGCCGCCAAGCGTATCAGCAGGACCAGATCCAATGGCGACGGACCAGCCGACTGGAGGCCAGGTAGGTGTTGGGGGAGGGAAACAAGGGCAAACCGTGAGCAGAGGACAAATGACCCTCCCGCCAGGACATGCCGCCAGAGAGACGCACATCGTCGAATGCCGAGCGGAGCCAATGGAAGCCGACGTGCGGCTCATTGGTGAAAAGTGTCATGAGCGTGTCTGGAAGGGCATAAAACAGGTAAGAGGTTGTCGAAAAGGGAAATGAGGAGAGCGGGAGAGAGAGAGAGAGAGAGAGAGAGAGAGATTATTGGCCAGGCATAGCAGACGTCGGGAGGCGCACCTTGCAGCGACAGGTGCAGATCGGGCGAGAGGGCTGGGCTGCCAAGCTCCCCAGACAGGGCGCGGGCCGCCACGTCCGGGCCCCCGCCATCCATTCCGCCGCCAGTGTCCGAGGCCACCAACCCCACGCCGAGAGCCAGCAGCCGGGCTCCGGCCACTCGAGCCGCATGGCCGGCTACCTGCCGCACAACGGCCACCGACTGCGACAGCTCCGACTCCGGGGACACCTGCCGGAGCATGGTGTGCAACGCCTGCAAAGCCGCCCCGGCCAAGGGGATCCCCCGGAGCTGATCACCCCCAGGGCCAGGGGCCACGAGCATGCTTAACGGGCTGGACAGGCACCGGTCAGCCAGGAGATCGCTGTGCGGCCCGCCGGCCAGCCAGGCGGCCGCCACGCGCCCGGCCCCGGCCAGCAGAGTTTCCGTGACCCCGGGCCAGGTCCCCGGCGCCAGGGTGTCCAGGCGCCGGCGCAGGAACCCGAGGAAGTGTGCCGTCGACAAGATGTCCCGGTGGGCCTCAAGGCCGGGGCTCGGGGCCGAAGAGCCGGCACGGGCCACCGCATGGCCCAGCGCCCGGAGCAGAGCAATTTGCAATTGTCCCAGGCCGATGGCCAGCGGACGGTCGGCCACCACCGTGGCTCCCATTGCCGAAGGCAGCCCCTCGGACCCCGGGGCCCACGCACTCCGGGGGAAGAGAAGCTCATGGATGTCGAAAAGGTCCAGGGCCAGGGACTTTGAGTCAAGAGGAAGGGCGGAGGAGGGGGGGGGGGGGACGGGGGCGGGAACACATCAGTAAGCGAAGGACTCCGGCAGAGGGAGCAGCAAGAGGCGCAATTTCGGCCATATGTGTACCCGGTGCACGGCGTCATCGGCCGCCGGGGTCTCGGCTCGAAGGAAGGAGAAGCGCGGGATCAGCAGGACCAGCCGCTGGAGCAGGTCCCCGAGCCGCAGGGCGAATTGGCCAACCAGCATGTGTTGACCGCCGGTCAGGGCGGGCTCCTCCAGCCCCGGCATCCGATCTAGCAGCGGCCGAAGGATCCCCGCCACGGCGCGCAAAACCCGGCCAAAGGGCGATCCACCGCCAGGGACAGGGCCAGCCGGTAGGAGGTCGGCACACAGCAGGACCACCGCCCCGGGCAGAAGGTGGTCCGATCGGTGGAGGAAGTCCCCAAGCCCCGAGGCCAGCAGGATCCCGGTGTCCGCCATGCCGGTGACAAAGCGCCCATCGGCTCCGGCCGCCGGGTCGCCGTCCGTGTGGGCCGACTGCTCCAGCAGTGCCTCCAGCCGGGCGGCTCCCTGCTCCAGGGGCACGAGCAGCGCCCGCAACATGGCCGCAAGGGCTGTCCCCTGTGCCAGGGCATAGGGGAAGCCCCCGGGGTCGCTGGGCTCTGGCGTGGGCGTGCTTGCCCGAGAATGGGCCTGCTGGGCCGTCAGCGTCAACAGAAGGTCCAACGTGGAGAAGCCCAATTCCACGGACGGGGCATCGGCCTGCGGCTCAAGGACAATGCTGCATGACAGGCGAGTCAGTGACGGGAAGGCGCGAGAAGAAAGGCAGGGGGGGGGGGAGGCAGGCAGGATGGCGCCCCGGGCCCCGACTCGCTCCCCAGATGGACGCACCTCGACAGACCGCACCACAGCCGGCTGAGGTCCGAGCGCCGGAGGGCCTTGCCGCCCGGGTGGGGATTCTGGCGGAAAACCAACCCGCAGGAGTATTGGGCGAAGCCGCACGCAGCCGCCAGGGCCCCGTACGCCAGGCGGTCGCCAGCCAGGCGGTCCCACCAGGAGAGATCAGATGTGTCGCCATGCCCGCTGCCACCGCCACCGCCACCGCCGGGGCCCGACAGGAGGGCCTTGTATCCGGCGCCAAGGGCCGCAATGGAGCCTTGATCAAAGATCCGGCCAACGCACTGATCCATGGCCTCGGAGCTGACGGCCGACAGGGGACCCACCAGTGCCGGGCCCGGCGAACGGAGCAGCGTCAGCAGCGACATGACAATGGTGCGCATGTCTGTGGCCGAGGGGCGGGTGGGCGTGCCCGAACGGGGTGTCAGAACATCACACATGAGGACCGGGAGGAGCGGCGGAGCGGCGGAGCGGCGGAGCGGAGGACCGAGGCAAACGCACCTGGCTGCGTCCCCGGCGGATAGCGGCAAACATCACGAACGACCGGCTTGCCGGCCCCGGCGGCGGGCCCACATGCAGGGACTTGCTCGGCCAGGAAGATCCGGCACTCCCGCAGCAGGTGGCGGAAGTACTCGCCCAGAGGGGGCGACGCAGGTAGAGAGCCTTCAGACATGGTGCATGGTGTGTGCGTGCGCGCGCCGGCCAGCAGGGAGCACACGGCGGGAGGCGGGAATCGAATCCAGAGAGAGGAGGAGAGAGAGAGAGAGAGAGAGAGAGAGAGAGAGAGAGAGAGAGAGACCCGAGGAAAGGTAGGCGTGTGGGGTGGGTGTTGTGGGTGTGTATGGGGGGGGGGGAGGACGTGTGGGCGGGCGTGGTCGGTGCATGTACGGGTATAGCTAGTCCCGCACGCGGTGGAGGATGCGCCGCGTTGGAGGGGGGACGCTTTTCCGGCACCCACGGACGCCGGCCCAACGGGCATGGAGATCGCCCGCCCCCCCGATCGCCGCCGCGCGATCTCCGCGCCCCCCCCCCCTCCGCCGGGCCCCGGCCGGGACGGCCCAAGGGCCATGCCGTTGGCATATGGTGGCGCCCGATGCCATGATGCGTTGGTGTCTCCTCCTTGTGTCATGTGCCCGGGAGAACGTCATTCTACGGGCCTTAATATGATGGCGATCCGGCCACCCTGCGGGCGCCCGAGACTCGATCCACCCCTCCCCCTCCCTCTCCCCCTCCTACTGTCTGATCCCCCGCGCGCGCGTGCCCCTCCCGCCCCCTCCCTCAGACAGGTACCCGCCCGGGCTCGCCTCCTCCCCTCTGTCGCCTCCTCCCCTCTGTCGCCTCCTCCCCTCTGTCGCTTCCTCCCCTCCGTCGCTTCCTCCCCTCGTCGCCTCTTCCCTCTTTGAGACCCTTGCTTCCTCTTGCTCACACGGCTTTATCCCCCACCCACCCCCCCCCCTCTCCCTGCCTCCTGCGCGTGGGCGACAGATGCTCGCCATCCTCTCCGCGCGCACTGCCGCCCTCGCCCACAACACGGTGATGACCGCGCGGCAGACCGTCGTCCACGCGGCCGGTGTCCTCCGCCACTCCCTCTTCGGGGAGGAGTACCCTCCGTATGGGCATCAGCTCCAGCTGGCGGGTGATTTCGCGCCGGCTCCCGCCGCCCCGGCCGGCCCCGGCCTGCTGGAGGCCCTGTCCCGCCCGTGGGTGCTCTTCGCCGTGCCCAAGAAGAAGGTCTCCCGGCCCATGCGTCGCAACCGCATCGTCCACAAGCAGGTATGCCCCGAAGCTGCTCCTTGATATGCCCCCTGTGGTGGCGTGAGTTGGAATGCGGAGCGGGGGAGGGGCACTCGGGCTGGCTGGCTGGCTGACGCTTGACCTACCGGCTTTACCAAACACGCACATACACGCACATACACACACACACTCACACACGTCATCTGCCCTGTTTCAACCTCCCCTCCCGCTCTCGCTGGGCACCACAGCTTCAGAAGATCACCAACGTCGAGGACTGCCCCAGCTGCGGCTCCCCTCGACTTCTGCAGAACCTCTGCCGCAACTGCCGCACCATTGTCACCGCCGACGGCCAGCTCCACCCCGCCTCCAAGCTCCCTTACATCCCGGAGATCGACAACGCCAAGCGCCAGCAGCAGTAAACACGCCTCCGCGCGTCTCCCCACCGCGGAAGGACACCATGGCGGAGCGGGATTTCCGGCCATTACGCACGCTCTCTCTCTCTCTCTCTCTCTCTCTCTCTCCTCCTGCTCCCCTTCCCCCTCCCGTCACCCTACCACACACACACACACACACACACATACTAGACCTTGTACTCCTTTTCGATTCTCTGCTGCTCCTTGGCCCCGGCACGACCGGCACAAGATACGTCCTCTGGCGCGTGGCCCGGCCACCTTCCAGCACCTCCCCCTTGTAGACTGCTCCCATGTTCCCCCCTCCTCCCTCCCGAAAATGCAAATAATCCTGAAATGTTTGATCTATTACTGGGCGATGTGTGGGGTAGCGGCCGGGCGAGGGGGAGGACCGGGCCGCCGGGCGGCGGCGGCGATGCCGAATGGTGGGAAGGCCCCCGGCCGCTGGGAAGTGTTTCGGGAATCGGCGAAAGGAGAGAGATGCAGCTGGAAACCGGCGACTTAGCGCTTGCCACGGGAAGCCTGCTTGCCCTCGCCTGTGACGATGACAAAGGCGGATGGCGAGGGGGGACCGGGTGTGCGCGCGGCGGCCGGGCACAGGGCAGGTTACCGTGTGATGGGCGGGCAGGGTTGGCGGGCGAGCAGGCACACGTAGGCGCCAGCCGAGCACATCGGTGGCGGTGCGCGACAAGGAGGGGGCCAGACAGAGGGAGGGAGAGAAGGGGGGGGGGGGGGGGGA